TTGATCATCACTGGAGTAATAGGCTTCGCTATCGCTCAGCCAATAAGTGCCCAGTGCTGCATGTGCCTACAAGTGCTGTAGTGCTTTAAGCGCTTCAAGGCTTCAAGCGCCTTTCTTGCGCCAGGAACAGCCTTTTTTGGGGGGTGGAACGCCAGTCTCGTGTAAACGTACATGCTCATACAACTCACAATACATGCAATGCCCAATGCGTGTGAGCGTACATCATCACACATGCACCTGAAAATGCTTTGGGGTTCATTCAGCACCAGATCTTGCCCATTCAATCGCCCGAGTGTTTGGAGCTGTGCGCTCCTGGAGCCGTATCGCTAGACCTTCCGTTGTGTTGCCACAGGTGCTGCTGCAGGTGCTTCCGCAGGGGCAACCTGCGGGAGCTGCTGCAAGGGGCAACCTGCAGTTGCAGGTGCTCCTGCAGAGGCAACCTGTAGCTGCTCCTGCACGGGGCAACCTGCAGGTTCTGCTAAAGGGGGCAACTGGGCAACCTGCAGGTTCTGCTGCAGGGGCAACCTGGACGTGCAGCTAGGCAACACGCAGGCTGTAAGCAGTGCTGCCGCAGGCGGATCCTGCAAGGGCCGTCCTGACGCGGGTACTCACCTTCTCCATTCTGCTGCTGCTGCTGATGTGAAGAAGGTACTCCCAGCACGGTGGCTATCACCAAAGTCCACCACACTCCACCCCGGCGGGGCAACATCGTGGCGGTGGCAGCACACTATCCACAGTAGAGCACACGCACCACACGGTCACACAACCTCTCACACACACACAAACACACGCGCGCACGCACACGCACTCACACCAACACGCGTAATCCTGAGTATGGTCGTTGGGGCCGGTACGCCTTATTGTCGTACAATCGACGCGCTGCGGACGGAGCGTCGCGGCGGCAGCGGAGCGGCCGGAGGTTCGGGGCGGACTGAAGTACTGGAGGGAAGGGAGCGGCCCGCGCGCCTGCAGCCCGGGCACGGCGGGTAGGGCCGGGCCGAGGGGAGAGGGGAGGGGGGGGG